CATTGCTGGCAATGTCTACTGTTCAAGTACCAACTGTAGGCTCTGACCATGTCCAGTGGAACCCAGGTTTCCAAAAGTCAGCTCCAGGATGGTTTTAATGTGATTCATGCTCACGTCACAAAACTGCAGACTAGGCAATCAATTCTTTTAAGAACAGACAGATAAGATACTGTCCTCAGCTGGAATCCCAGAACTGTGACTCCTGCAGCCATGGATCAAGCATGCTAAAAACGCTTTCATTACAGACGATCCAGATGAGCACTAAAGAGCTGACGATAAAGATATGAATAACCTAGGTACGTTCTCTTGGATCACTGTGCCTTAATTTTAAGCTCTAGAGTATTTTCAAGAGCCAGTTTTAGAAGATCTGTAGGTTAGCAGCAGCCTGACAGACAAAATTTCCTAAAAAGATGGGAAGGAATTAATTTTTTCCTGAACCATACTTCTCTCTAGTAAGCTATGTCTCTAAATACAGTAAAAACTACCTGAATAAACAGGTAGTGTGGTGGGAAACACGTTGGTTTTTTCCAAGGTCATAGAATCACAGAATCATAGAATGTTTTGGGTTGGAAGGGACCCCTAGAGGTCATCTAGTCCAACCCCCCTGCAGTCAGCAGGGACACCGCTAACCAGATCAGGTTGCTTACAGCCCCATCCAACCTGGCCTTGAATGCTTCCAGGGATGGGGCCTCCACTACCTCTCTGGGCAACCCATTCCAGTGTTTCACCACCCTCATTGTAAAGAATTTCTTCCTTAGATCCAGTCTAAACCTACCCTGGTTTAGTTTAAAACCATTACCCCTTGTCCTGTCACAGCTGGCCCTACTAAAAAGATTGTCCCCATCTTTCTTATAGGTCCCCTTTAGGTACTGAAAGGCTGCCATCAGGTCTCCCCGCAGCCTTCTCTTCTCCAGGCTGAACAATCCCAACTCTCTCAGCTTTTCCTTACAGGAGAGGTGCTCCAGCCCTCGGATCATTGTTGTGGCCTCCTCTGGACCTGCTTCAACAGGTCCATGTCTCTCCTTTGCTGAGGGCCCCAGTACTCCAGGGGAGGTCTCACCAGAGCAGAGCAGAGGGGCAGAATCACCTCCCTCGACCTGCTGGCCACGCTTCTCCTGATGCAGCCCAGGGTACAGTTGGCCTTCTGGGCTGCCAGCGCACATTGCCAGCTCATGTCCAGCTTTTCATCCACCAGCATCCCCAAGTCCCTCTCGGCAGGGCTGCTCTCAATCCTTTCTTCCCCCAGCCTGTATTGATACCGGGGGTTACCCCGACCCAGGTGCAGGACCTTGCACTTGGCCTTGTTGAACCTCATGAGGTTCACATAGACCCAACTCCCCAGTTTGTCCAGGTCTCTTTGGAGGACATCCCATCCTTCTACATCACTCAGCTTGGTGTCATCTGCAAATTTGTTGAGGGTGCACTCAATCTTGCTGTCCATGTCATTGATGAATATATTAAACAGCACTGGTCCAAGTACAGACCCCTGAGGGACACCTCAAGGTTTGTGTCAGACCTTCAGTTCAGGACTTCAAAAAAGCAAAATCTCAAGGATGACAGCAGTTACAGCAATCCACAGGTGGTCTGTTTGCCATCACTCATGTCTGACCTCAGTGTAAGATGCTTTCTGGATTTTAGTTTTGTGATTACTACTGCCATATCTGGTAGGTCAAGATAGTGTTTTCAAAGGCATATTTTGGTACAAGGAAGAACTTGCTTGTCTAGGCTGGTATACTCGGTTTCAGCAGTGAACCCTTTTCTGTTATTTTCCCTGCCTTTTGTTATTGTTCTACAGTGTTTTAATGAACTGGCTTTGCTTGACTTTTCGTTATAAGTTTGATGCATTTGTACTAATTTACAAATACGGCACTAAGCATGTGAAACTGAAAATGTGGTCTCTTGGTCACAGAGCTGATGCTGACAAAATGAATGTGAAAGTCATAGACTCCAAAATGCATCAGATTATAAACATCCTGGTATCTGTGCTCACAATGCTTATATTTTTTCCCCTTGGAATTACAGATACCTTAGTTTGAAGTAAGGGTAACCGTTAAAGCCTCTTAAACAGATAACAAATAAGGATAGCTCAAGTGCTGTATCTGAGTATTCAGGTGTAGGATGAAGAGAGCAAGAGCAATGGCTGCAGCATTTGTCAGGGATGTGGTTTTGGGCAGAAAATTTACCTGCTATATTTGTTGATTAATGATGTGAATTGACAGACTAATTTCAGTCACTATCAATAGCTGAAGGCAGTGAATGGGGTGAATATCTGTGTCTATGCCTGAGTGGTCTATAATTTTTTGGGGAAGCAAGGGTCTAACGTACCCAGAAAAAAAGTTTATGAAAGGAGCAGTACTCTTTTTCTTCAAAGATAGGATTTGAACTTACTGATCCAGGGCGAGTCTTCTTGCCATGAGCATTAAGAGGGAAAGTTTCAATGCCACCCTGACCTGTTGCTTGCACTAACGTATAAGGTGTGTATACATAGCTCTAAGGAAGAGCTATTGAAAAGTTTAGGAACTTGCATACCTGAGGTACAAAGGTATGTACAATGGAACGTACACCAAACCACATGCAAAACAGGAATTTTTTCCATGAAGTGGGACAGCATACTCAAGTGACAGATTTAATACTCAGTGTTAGATTTAAACCCAATGTACATGTCTGCTTTTTCTACTGAGGTTTCTCATCACCAAGACAATTTATTCTAAGTAGCAGGAAATGAGAAAGGAAGCCTGGGGAATGCTGAGTAGGGAGGAATAGGGTACATGGCCTTCATTACCAGGCAGGAACAAAGGGGTATCAAAATGCACCCTAAAGCAGACCTACTGTGTAGACCTCTATACTGCGAGCTGCTCCGTGTAATTCATCTGTGTGAAAATGTGTCCTCACAGAAAATGTCTATTGATACTATCCAGGACAGGTCTGGTAAACAACTGGATATTCTACTTCACATCATAGCTATTTAAACTCTGAAACTCTTTGTCACAGGACATTCTGTATATTAAAAAAAGTACACAGATTCAAAAAGTGATTACACAAATATATAGGAATCTCAGTTAAGGACTTCACATTGGTGATTATGAAAAGACTTGGCTCTCTTCCTGGCCCATGCAGCTGAAATGGTATACATAGGCTCATTTTGAAAACTCAACAACATGCTGGATGCTATCACCTGTTAACCAGTTCTAGTGCCATAGCCTTCCCATGGGTAGGAAGCTCACCTTGTTCCTCTGATTCTTTGTGGCTTTTTCACATTCAAGTGTTTTGTGACTGTATATTAATTTATACTCTAGCAAATGTAGTTGATATACTTACCTAAAGAAAGCAGATGTAGGTTGCTCACTGTTGGCCCTGTGATGGAGGGGTCCAGCTAATTGAACCTGTCAGTGTCTCTCCTCTAAGAAAATTCATACCTATCCATGCTCACACCATCCACTAGAAGGTCACAATCAAAGAATGGACAACTGAGAGTTAGATCAAATTTTCATCTTACTTGGGTTGGTAGCTCTGAATGTTCATTGAACTTCCCAGCTTTTTTTAATGTTAGCTTTGTAGAGTTAAAAACTGATATTAAGCTAAACAAATCCTTATTTCATAGAATGCACATAGGTAAAGTCCCAATATTAGCGTTCATGAAGTGTTAGTTCCAATTAAACAACTGTCACTTAGACATGCACCGAGAAAAAAAAAAAAAGAATGGGAAAGTTACCCTACTCTGTCTTTAGATGTACTCCCCAACCTTCCTGATTGTTGATACTACTGATGGAAGATCCTGTTCCAGGCTTTTCTCGTAAGTTCTGTTCTTCATTAATGCCTTGAACTTCTTCCATCTACTTGCCAGGATTTTTCTAGGCGCTACAGCTTCCAGCTAGCTCTGTTTCAGTCAAACCAGTTTCCCTTAAAAACTGATAATGCATTTTAGGCCACAAGAAAAAATGGATTACCTCTGTACAGCTTTTCTTTTGCTGTAGTAAGTGACTTAATCGAGCCTAAGGAAAATCTCTACGTTGATGTTTTGGGTTCTGAGCATGTCCCAAGCCTAAGCAGAAAGCATTTCTGGAATGCAGTAAGATACTGTGGAGCTGCAGGAAGGTCTCAAGCAGTATTTATGTATATCTTCTCAGGGTCCAACAATTATCAGGACAGTGATTTCTGAAACAGCTGACAGCCGTTTTTCTTTAATAATAATTTATGAACCGTTATGATCGACCATATGATGACCATATGAACCATTATGGATCAAGAGCAGCCCTGCTGAAAGGGACCTGGGGGTAAGATGGATGAAAAGCTGGACATGAGCCGGCAACGTGTGCTGGCAGCCCAGGCGGCCAACCACACCCTGGGCTGCCTCAAAAGCAGCGTGGCCAGCAGGTGGAGGGAGGGGATTCTGCCCCTCTGCTCCGCTCTGTGTCAGACCCCACCTGCAGTCCTCAACACAAGAGAGACATGGACCTGTTGGAGTGTGTCCAGAGGCCAAAAAAATGATCTGAGGACTGGAGCCCCTCTCCTGTGAGGACAGGCTGAGAGAGTTGGGCTTATTCAGCCTGGAGAAGAGAAGGCTGCGGGGAGACCTGATTGTGGCCTTTCAGTACTTAATGATAGGGAGGACTCTTTTTATCAGGGAGCATTAGTGATAGGATGAGGGGTAATGGCTTTCAATTTAAAGAGGGTAGATTTAGATTAGATATTAGGAAGAAATTTTTTACTGTGAGAGTGGTGAAGTCATGAGTGCCTCAGCCCTGGAATGCCAGGTTGGATGGGGCTTTGAGCAACCTGGTCTAGTGGAAGATGCCCCTGCCGAAGCCAGGGCGGTTAGAACTCGATGATCTTTAAGGTCCCTTCAAACCCAAACCATTCTATGATTCTATCCAATCCTTTTTTTTTTTTCTGTCAACTCAAAAAGCATTTAAGTTCCTACTTAATAAACTGAAATCTGGTTAATAAAATTGTATTTTATTTACCAATGTTTTAATCACTATAGATATGCAAGAGTCTAATTTCCAGCTTCAGTTCTGGGGTTAATTTCAGACTATTTGTGTAAAACTGGGAAAATTATAATTTGTGCAGCCATGGACTACAGTAACAAGGACTACAGAAAAGCAGATTAGGCTACCACAGAATGCCAGCATTTATTCAGAAGGTAACTTGTCAACTGATGTAAGTTAGAAACTGTAGAAATCAACAGAACAGAGAATTTTATAAGCCTTACAAACTAGATCTGAAAAAGTGAAAACAAATGCGGTTAGGCAATATAGCATAACACAACATGAGTTGTTTAGGAAGCATGCAGTTGTAGAGTTGCACACTAAACATCTGCAGCCCTTTGCACAGAAAGATGTGTCAGCTGTCCTATGTGTTTATCTTAAACCCAATAAATTTGTTTGCAAAGACTCTGGAAAAAAAAACCAAACACATTCTTGAGATGATACTTCACTGTTAGTTCCAAATGTCTGCAAGGCCGTGTACAGGAGGAGCCGAGTTATTTAAAGTTTTGCCTTTACAGAGTACAACATAGAAGTAAAAAGAACTGTTAAACATATTTTTTTAGACCATTACCTGAATTTGCATTGTATTAAAGCAGCTGAAAAAACCCTCCACAATGCAAATCATGGCATCACTTCCCATAAAACTAAAAGCCAAGTGTAACTGTGAGCAGTTGAAGTAGAAATTTTTGTCTTTTTTCATACTTCACACTCGGACCAAATATACGCTTTACTAAAACAAGAAAAAGAATAATAAAATCCTCCAACAAGAAGAGGCTGCTGATATAAAAAAAAAAAAGCTTATCATAAACCATAAGTATGTCTTAGCCCCAAGCAAAAGTACTGGTGCTTTGTTCTGTTTTAAAATAAACATGTAGGTCACGCTACATATGAAAGGCTTCTAGGCGTATTCTGTCTGGATCTTCTGGATGTCTCAGGGCAACTCCATATCGCAGCAGCAGCTCAATATAAGGTGGCCAAAATGAGTCACTGATAGTGACATAGGGTTCATGTGGCGTGCTCATTAATTTGTTTATAAGAATCTGGAAGACCAAAGGGTAAGATTTAGGAAATGAACAAACCAGCTAGATTTCTTTCTCCTTTTACCCAATTTACACAGATTATTGTAATGAGACACTTATGTAGGCAATATAAGAAATACAAGACTACAGGAGAAATACAAGACGTCTTCAAGGTAGAAGTAAACCGAAGGACTTCCAATTGACTTCACTACATCTTTTTTGATGTAAAAATTAGAACCATAATTCTCCTTTTATCCAGACTGTTTTTCATCATCTGTCAAAAATTCTGAGTGGATTTTAGATAGCGTAACTGAAAATGCATGAAAAATCTGACCATAAAGGTGGTGAATCCTTATATAATTAACCTTTAAATCAGTATCTGTTAATTTTAAATTAAAAACATTAAATAAGAGGGAAAGGTAGATTTTTGGGAATCACTTGCCTCAAAACCGTAATGACTTACTGTCAACAAATCACTGTCCCTCAGTCTTTCATATTTTAGCAAAGAATGTTCATCTTACAAATTTCTAAATTTCATCTCACTACCTACCTAAAAAAACCCTGTCTCCTTAGATTGGGAGGCATTAGTTTTCCTGTATTTTATGTCCTTATGTAAGTAGTGTTAGAAATAAATAAGTTTGCACCTGTGAAAAGTTAAACATCATAGTCCTAGTTTAACCTCACTATGTTTGCACATAAAATCTTTTTGCTCATCTCATAAATGGATTACCCAGATTCTTAAGAGCACTTCTTGTCTGGGCATGACAAACACCTTACAACAGTTCACACCCTCTTGATACTTCCTTAATTATCCTTTGTTCCTTATCTAAATATAGAATTAGTCAATGGATTAAAAACAAAGATCAGCTTTTACATTATTTTTCTGTTCTTAGAAACCATGTTTATGCTGTCATAATATTGCTCATGGGGAATACTGCAGACATTACATATTAAATAATCTTACCCATCCCATAGTGCTCTCTCTATTCATTCTAGATATTTCAACTTTCTACTCAGGTCTTCTAAATGTTACAGCTTTCCTAATTTCAGTAGGTACAAAATATTCTGTCTGCGCTGCTAAAGAAAAACTCAAAATCCTCAGTACCAGACTGTACTTTTTTCACCCATTGCTATTAAGAAAGTCCCCAAAACCTGCTCTTCTTTTCAGAGTGTTCCAAAAAATTATTCCAGTTTATGTCTTTTGTACTTATCTGCCCTGATTCTGAATATTTACTCCAAATGCATTATCGGAGATTAGTTGTTACTTAGTCTTTTCTGACATCTGGTATACCAGAAGAGCCTTTATGGCTGTAACTTTACATACAATTGTATTGTAAACAGTCTTTTAAATCTTAAACTAGTTCACTAAGTTCTCAGTCAGAAAGGAATAATCTTCAAACTGTTTAAAAGGAAAATAATGACTACATTTGTAAAAAATGACAGGTCATTACTGGAATAAAAAGTAGTATAATAAAAATTCAGAGATTTGCATGAGAAGAGTTTACTGCTTGCTTACTACTTACACTAATGTAATGAAATAGGCATTGACATATCAAAATAATATAAATGTATACACCTAGCTTGTCAAAGTGGATTTATTAAAAACGTACACTTTCATTATTTAACAAAACACATGGAGCTTGAGGAGACATGGTTTACTACAGCAAAACCTAAATCTACAATTATAATACAAAGATGACTTCGCATTTTCTCTTTAAGAAACTATTATCTGTATCTAAGAAAACACTTTTGAAATTTAACAGGCACTTGAAACTAGAACCAAGTTGCTCAACAAAAAAACCAAATAAACCATAAAACAAAGATAAGGGACATTGACAGTTTACGCCAAGATAGTTAAAATTAAAAATAAGTCTGAATTTTTGGAAGTAGTATGTCCTTCCAAACAGAAATCAGACATTACTTGGATGTGTTCACATTTTGAGCAGATTAACAATGTCAGAAAAAAATGAAAGGCAATTTTAAAGCATTAGAAGAGCTTTAAAATTTTAATTCCATAGGGAATGTGGCTTTTTTCAATTCTGATGTTTTCAAGCTCTGCCTAATTTGGCATTAATAGGCATGCTGAGATACTTGAAGCATGTAAAATGATTTTGATGATGTAAGCCCAAAGTCTGGGCTTTAAACTAAAGTACAGCAATGTCATAGTGACCAGATCATAGCATCTTAATACCAGAAAGTTGTTATTCATCAAGTTTTCCTTCAGGAAAAAACTTCACGCACCCACCCTGGGGAGGTCTTACACATAGATGCTTACAACTGGCTGAACAGCGAGGGTGAAGGAGGAATAGGAAATTTCACTTCAAATGCTACATTTAAGACACAAAGGAACAATGCTAGTGAAAAGATTTTTAATGTTCCTTCAAAATTATGCTTTGAAATTCAAATTCATAAATTGCACTGGGATTAAAGATACACACTAAGTGATGCTGGCATGCTTATAAAGAAATTGGGGATTTAATTTGATAGGAATTAAAATAAAAGTCTGACATAACATTCTTACACACTGTACCTTCCAATTAGCAACCATGTGTTATTGTTACTTATCTTATTAAGACAGTATGATCAGACCTGAGTATTGGAAAATCCCCCAAATCTCTACATAATAAAACCATCTTACCTCTAAAATTTCGTGCAGTGTTATCAGTTCTAAAGCTGGTTCTTCAGAAGATTTCTGCAAAGATAACCACCCCCCAGCCAGATTAACAGAAAACAGAACTAAGTAGTCAGGAAAATCTTAACTGACAGTCACACAAGTATTTGATTGCATAGTACACAACAGATGAAGTCTTACTTGGATTTAGTCATGACAAAAATACAAGGTAGTATTTAAATCATTCATCCACCAGTTCAATATTATACACGTTAAATGTAATATTTTTTAATTAGTTATTAAAAAATATTAATCTTAAGCAATCATAATATATTTACCTGGGTTTACATTTAAATAAAATTAAGTACATCCTATTTGTGAATGTAGTACAGTGCAAAACTGTTACGAGAAAATGTTTTTCTTGAACTTTAAAAAAAAGGTTTACAATGCAAATTTGTCACAGCTCAAGACTTGAGTTCATAGTGCCTTAGTATTTTTTACATGATTTGCTGATGAATATTTGTTTACTTTGACTTCAATTTAAAAAAACAAAACAAAACAAAAAACAGCCAAGCTTGAGAAATCGAATCATTAAAAATTTGGAAAAAAAAGTCCTTGATAAAATATCGTTTGTACAGCAATCCATTAGAAAATTACTTGTTTTCATTTGTAGCAAGCAAATCAAGCCATTTGCCTGTAAACTGATATGTATTTCTTAGGCAGCAACAGCCACAGAACTGTTTGTGCTGTTGCACGGTGAACATGATTCTTTCATTTTTTGTGGCTGCTTACTGAGAACTGCTGTTGAATATGCCAACTTAAGTCCTGAGATATTACTAGATGTGCAGCACCTTATATAGACTCCACCTCTGGAACAGAAGAGACATACGAACAATAAAGAAGAATTTGTGAAAGGCAAGTTCTGGCTCCTTTTTTCCAGTCACAGTTCTTAATACTCTCACCTTCAGAAAGCCACAAGGGGGACATACTGCCTGCTCAATGAAACCATGGACCCAGGGCTGAATAAAGCCTATCTCTGTGCCTTTATCTTGATGCTAGGCTGAGGAAATAGAATCTAAACTAAGAAGCTGCAAAAACTTCCTTGGAGCAATCATGAAGATGCAACAGCTGAGGCTACAAAGTACTTCCCTGGCCAAAATGATTGCTTCATAACTTAGGTAGTGGGTTCAATATTCATGTTTCAAAGCTGAAATTAGGTTATGACTAATAAGGTAATTATTAAAACCAATATACAAAGAATAAAATCATAAGGATATTAGTGTAAAGAGGTGTGCACTCTTACAGAAGTGGCAAACTTATTTTGCTAGGTTTACAATACATATATTGTGTATATTGCTTAGTAAAATAATATTATTTACATATTTTAAGTGTCACCAATAAGTACTTCTAATTAATTAATTAATTATGACTTATAAAAATTAACTTACAAAGTCACTTTTAAGTAGGATGCTCAGCATTTATTTATTTAACCTGAAAGGCACCTTTCCCTCCCTTCCAAGAGATAGACTGGCATAAAGGATATTCCTCAACTTATGACTTGTCTTGGAAGAAATGTGGTTTTTTTAATCTGAGATTTAAAATGCAAGATAATTCTTACCTCAGTCACTACCTATACTAAAGGTGTTGGGACATGGCAACAGAAGCTAACCTGGGCTGCTGTGATTCAGTTTTCCCTCCCACTCCCAAGCCCAGACGCAGATGCCTGGTGAAAGGAGGGTGGAACCAGAACAGTGAGGTTCTACTCTGGAGCCCTGCCTTACAGATGTCAGGCCCGCACATTTGCCCAGACACAGAACTACTGAGGACACAAGAAGTTTCCACAAAGTGAAGCAAAATTACTGATGTGCAGAGTTGAGAGTTCTGTGCTTCCAGAGTGTTGAACCAAGCTGATAATACATGTGAATAATGTGTACCCCCAAATCAATGTAGCAGCAAAAACCAATATAGGCGAAACGGCTGTCTCTCCTGCCTTCACAGTTAATCATTTAGATGGAGATTAGAGGGGACCTGCAGTTTAGCCATTGAGATCCAACTCAGTAAACAGATATAGAAGCGGCTATGAATTCACAAGGAGTGAAAAGAAAGAAAAAGACCTGTCAGAAAACAAACTGTGTTGAAGAGTTCAGAAAATGCATAAATAAAATTAAAACTAAGACAAGATAAGAACGTGCTTGGAATTTTATCAAAATAAATTTCACATTTAAGTAAAATAAAAAAAAGGTAAGAGATGAGTTTCTGTGAGCAGGGGAAGGGTTGCTTGATCCCAAACACCTTGGGTGATTATTTTTTTCTTTGTATATTAATAAAGAAAACTGCAAGGAAGAGAGATGAAGCCAGGGTAGCTAATAAGAATTTCTGACAGTCAATATAACAGAGGCTGAGAAAATTCAAGCAGTTGATTTTGCAGGAGACTTTACATAAAATCTTCCTCAGAACTCTGAACCACACACAATAATTCACTTTTCCTTATATTTAAAACACAGCTGGATATGACCATGAACAGGCACTACTTCGATGATGGTGTTGGAATGGAAGAACTCCAGAGGCCAACTCCAGCCTTTATTTTTCTATATTTCTATTCTTCCATAAATGGGAGCAAATAAATTGGTGTATATCATTATAGGAAATATATCTTTAAGAAAATAATTATATATATGGGGAAAAATGGACAATCACTTAAAATGCATCTGGGAAAGTAATTTGTGTTTGAAGAGGCATGCCCTAGAACAACTGTAAGATTAGTAAGAACCAGCAAATAGGGAGATGACATATAAGGCTGAGATCAAGAAATACATGATTGAAAGATGACTGACTTAAATTCCTGAAGCTTTAATTTCTTAATGCTGGAACAAAATGTATCATATTTAGTAACAGCAGGAAATTGGAAGGCATTGACGTGCAGAAGAACTAAGATACAACAGAATAAGATGCTTGAAGATGGTTGAATAACACTTTGAAACTGGATATCATGCCTTGAAGGGTCCATTTGGTATTTCTATGTGCAAAATATATAGTTCTGTGCAAAACCAAGGGTTCATCAGTTGGAAAAAACAGGAAAAAAAGACAAGAGTGTAATCAGTTGCTTTTGTGATGACTGTGAGCTAGTAGTTTTGTTTTAATACTGTTTTTTAACAGGTTCCAAAAAAAATTAATCCAAGTTGCAGCAAATATAGAAAACAGGCATTATTAGGATAAGCCAGGGAATTGAAAAAAAAAAATTATCTTACAGGAGAAGAACAAGAAAGCTTCTCTAGTTCAATTAGCAGAACAAAGACAGTGTAACATTCCTGTCTATAAATATATCAGGTGGAATAAAGACAAGAAAGAAGAGCTATTCTAAGGGCGATACTGGTGTAAGAATACACGGATCCGTGTTAGAATAAATCTAGACTGGAAGTTAGGAGACAGTTTCTAACCAGAATACTGAGGTACTAGAACAAACCCTAACAGAAAGAGTAGTAACAAAAATAATTAGCTTTAAAATGGAGCTCAATGATAAGAAATTATATTACATGGTTGTCTGGAATAACAGGGAACTGGATTAAAGAAATCCTTTCGATTTCTGTATTCTTAAGTGTGTCTGAAATAAAAATCAACCCCTACCTTTTTTGTAAATATTCTTTCAAATTGTAATGGTAAAAGGTTTATTTTTACTGCAGACTTCGAATTTATTATGCAAAATACTCCCCAACTGCTTATTTTCTCTGAAGTTTTACAATAATTTTTGGCCCAGTTAGTCTGAACAGAAACTGATGGTTAACATTCCAAACTACAGTGTAATTATAAACACTTGTCCTTATTACTGTTCCAAAAACATTGTTAGACAATTAAAATTTGCTTTGCCAAGGAAAATATGAATCCACTTGCCTAGCGCAGTAAAAAAGAAAATGGAACAATTTTGAGTGAACCCCTCACCATTTCTAAATTTGGCACAGCTTGCAGTTCAGTAAGAAATACAATACATTGCTATGCATCTCATTGGGTAAAGGATACATGTATTAAAAAAGAAAATATCCAGCTGGGAACAGCCTTAAATAATATAAACCAACCTGAAAAATACCAATTAAACCTGAAGGATCAGCTGTAAGAACTATACTTATTTCAAAGTATAACTGCAGATTCTATGCTAGTGACTGTAAAAGGTGTTGCATCTAATTAATGGAATATTAAAAAAATAATAGCTATAAAGAAAATCTTACCTTATTTTTTTTAGCACTTCCACCTTTCTCTGGAAGGGGAAAATGTTCTTCAAGGAATTCACCCAGCGCATTCAAGAGCTCTTCCTTATATAACTTCAGTTTCAACACTTTATTTTGCAGTTCTTGAAATGCTCTAGTATTCAGACTAATAGTAAAAACATAGCAATAGAATATGAAATTCAATAAAATAATTCAAAAGTTCTTAAGAAAAAAAATCCCTTATTTTCTGTTGCTGTAAGTTCAACATCCTGAATCACAGGATATAAGCAGATAGTAGCAATATTTTCCATGTTTTAAATATGGATTACCAAGTTATTTGATCTATTTAACAAAACAAGGAGTATGTTTTAAGAGTTTGTTTGCTTATTTGGTCTTGTTGATATTTAAATTCTTCAGTATAAAAAATCAACAGTGTAGAAATACCTTTTTTTGGGAAGTTTATTTTGGGTTTTTGTCTCTTCCTCAATTCCATTAAGAGCATCTAGTATCTGCTCCTGTTCCTTATGCCACCGCTGTTCTCTTTGAAACATGAAAAGTGGGAAATAGCACAACAAATAAATAATTCTCCTGGACAGTCAAAAAAATAATGTGCGATTAACAAAAGTTTACAGCATTCATAAATCCAGTGTATTGTATTACCTCTTCAGATCATCTTCCAGTTGCTTATTCTTTGACTGAACTGTTGACAGCACCATTTCAAGATCACTCTTTACTTTCTGCAACTATAAAAAAGTAGAAATAACCTACAGTTTGCAGATAGCCCAGTCTGTAGTATTTGTTCTATGTAAGGTTACGTTTGTAAATCTTGTAAAGAGGGCCAAAATTATCTGTAATTTCTTAAGAAATACACTCTGTAGTGTGACACATTATTTTTAGTGAGTGACACACTATTTTTAAATCCAGTTTGAGCTATTAAAAACGTTACAGTCACCAGCTGATCATTAGTGTCTTATTGAAGCTCTGTAAAACAAAATAGTTGATTTTATGTGAAGCAGATCATGGAGCACACACACAAACTGCTTATCTGACGAAAGACTGAAAACATCTACAGCACCAGGGCTGCATTGTCTAAATCATTGCAGCTGTTTGCAAGAATGAAACCATGCTAACTGCACCAACATAAAGTGTATAGCACTCAGAAAACAAAGATGCTGTGAAGACAGACTAATTGCATCCATTAATTAAATGGTCCTGATATGGACATATTTGGGAGAGGAAAGAGGGAGAAATAATACTACTGCAGCCAGAAGTTACATGCACTGCTGAAGATAGGGAACAGTAGACTCTCAGTGGACTGGGTCTTTCACTAGTGCATTATGTTCTACAAAGTAGTATTTCTAATAGTTTACATTTTTTTTAATATAAAAAAATATGATTTGGATGTATTTTGTCTCCTTCCATACAAACTATAAGAACTTTTATATTTAGCTCAAAGAAATACAAAATTTTGAAAATATTCTGCAGAAGCAAATATGCTCTATTTATGCAACATCTGAAAAAAAATTAGAATCCTCAACAAAATAGGCCGCAAAATGGGATATCAGATGAAACATGCCATAGCAATACAGTCAAATGAAAGTGTGTAACCAAACAACTTGTTAATAGTGACTCTTAACAGCAGTTGGGTTCCCCGTTGTGAGTGATACTAGAAGCAAGAAAGCTGCTAGGAAGAAAACCAAAAAGATTTGGGTTTTGGTTGGGTTTTTTTTTTTATTAAGCCATAGCCACAGGAATGTTCTCAGGTCATGTTGCACACCAATGTCCAATCAATACAGTGATTAGTATATCCTTGACTTGCTCTTTCTTCCAAGGCTGGAAGAACTCAACAAAATGTTTGCAAATTATTGCCACAGAACTCTAGATCTAAGAATATCAACTCTTCTGTAGAACACATAATGTTACATTATTTTATATCAAGTATGAACTGCAATATATAAAAACTTTGTGTTTCAAAGATCATTCATTACAACTAGGAAATTGTAGTAGTTATAATACAGGGTTAGAAAAAAACATTAGAACAACAATGCCTGAAGAAAGATACATAAGTATCTTAGCAGTAGTCCACCACAGTAGTCACAGGAAAATACAATTGTATATACTTTTTTCAATGAAATTTTATTATCTCTAAAAAAACAAAGAGACTTACCTCTTCTTTTCCTAGTGCTAACAGTACATCTGGATTGGTGGAAATTACTGAAAAATAAAATGAATTGGGTTTTTTTGCATTGGATGATACAGACTTGTTTATCCTGAAAAGCAGCCTGGCTAGCCGGAAACTTGTATAGCCTCTAACAAACTAGCTTGGCTGTCAGCAGCAGTTTAACCACATTTTGTGGTGTCCTGCTGGGCTAACCTACTGTCACTTTTCAGCAAGTTAAATTAGACTGAAAATAGTGTGGTGTTAATGCTTCTGTGTTATTTTTTTAATACCAGAACTAGCTCAGATACATCATATTGAAAGGTGAAGTACAGTTATACCTCAAGATAAGCAAGCCTGATTTTTTCAATGCAAAGGATTCCATCAACATTACCAATGTGTGCAATCGAATTCTTCCAGTCTTCCAAATCCTTGTTAAACAGCCTCCTAAATTTTGCTTAATCATGACTGTAAAACCTATCAGACTTAAACAACTTAAAAAGTATGTCACCATCCTTACTGTTCACAAGAGCAGCTACGTGTAGAGAGATGAAAGGCCCAGCAAGGCCAATATCCTAACTCCAACCCTGAGCAACGGTGGTACTTCATGGAAAGTATGGTACTGTTCAAAGATGTGGTAACGTTTCCCCAGAATGCTTCTACAAAACACAGTGATTTATGGCTCATGGATTTTCTGAATATAAAGTGAACTGATGTATTTGTAAGCCTGCAATGGACTGCAATCCTCAGTTCCATGTCAATTTGCAGCATCTACATAAAAATACGACTTTTGAAAAAGCGAAGCATTTGAATCTATTAACAGGAGAAATGAAAGCTACTCTAACAGATTTAAATCTTAATATGATGGGGATATTTTTTGTCCAAGCTTGGGCTCCAAATCTCTCATCTTACAGATAATTACTTCAATAAAAGCTTTTCCTTTTACAAAAAGGAAACTCCTTAACCCTTTCATAAAAGCATTAATTGTCTCCTAAATACAATTCAGTTGATTTAATAAATTTATATAAGTACTTTTTTTGGTAAAGCAGTTTTATAGTTTTTATCTCCACAAGTTTTGAAAAGCTTTAGATTAGCAGTTTTAAAAGCACTGTTTTCTCCGAGATAAAAACCAGCAAAACTACTAAGTTCAAAATGCATTAAATTACATGCCACAATGAAATCCCTTTTACTTGAGAGAATTCCTGTCTCTAAATCTTGACACAAATTTGAGCAGATTGCTCCCAAATTAAGCTTCTGTTTAAGAGCTGTGAGAGGTAGTGGTCTGTGCTATTATTAGAGCTAGATTTCTTTAATTACATGGATATTGCAAATATACATAATAATTGGTGTGCTTTTATTCCCATTCACTGGCATATTTGAAGAAACCCATATGACTCTTCTGCCTGCCAACCCGGCCCCGGATTATCGTCAGACCTCATTGCCTGGAATTATCAATTTCTAGTATTGGTTTATACCACTTTATCATTTTTAGATAACTAATCCTGAGTATGTGCTTCCCATTAGCATTCATATTGTGTGAGTATCAGAACAGAGGCCACATCTTCCTAGGAAAGAAATCACTAACCCTAATTTAGTGAAGGAACGGTGCAGATCTAAGACACTGGGACAACACATTTATGGCAGCTGCTACTGTAAAGAACACAGATTGCTCTACCTACTGTCAGTTAAAGCTTTTTCATTCATGAATCACTACAGAAAAATCAAATGTCAAACAGAATTGCCTAGTAATACATAGTACAATTACTAAGCAAAACACTACCAGATGCTAAGAATGTAGAAGCAACTACTATGCGCGTTTGTACAAAACATTTATTAAAATAAGAGGAATTTGGCAGAATACTGAGATTTTGCAAAGAAAAATAGAAATTATGCAGTGACCACAACTGTTTTATATGGTTTAAAATACGGTTGCTTCCACTTCCTTATTTTGCAAAGGTAAAAATTAAATTCTATTTTCATGAGCCAAATGCTTGTTAAAAAGTTTTAATTCAGCTGATTTAGCAGCTCTTGAGCTACAAAAATAGTACCAGAAATTGAGAAAGAACAAGAGACTAAAGTAAAAGCTTTGCAAAAATAAAATTTGCATTGTGGATTCAAGTCTGTTTGCCAATATTGTGCCCAAAGAAATGTAAAACTGCCAAGTTATAACCTCTGAAAATAACATTTGAAGTCAAAATGCTGACAGGCCCAAGAAATGAACTGGCCATTACTAAAAGCAGAAACCAAAGTAGCAACACAGCCTGACATTCATACTCTATTAGTAAATTGTATGAAATTAGTATTTCTGCTATTCCTATTTAGAAAAATTTAGACAATGTTTTCAGTTAAGTAATTCCTCCTTCAAAACAAACAGTAGGTAGAAAGGAGCCAAGATGGACAGAGAAGATGAGAGCACAATAGATTCTTCATTTTCATACAAGCACTATAACTCTATTCCAATTCTTAGCAGCAGCTTCTTTTTTCCTTCCCTCAGAAAGGTAGCCAAAAAGGCAAAGCTTTGGCTGCAAAATATTATTTGCATTATAATATGCATAGATCATTTCTCTAGTACTAAAGTAAGACTTTCAATAACAAATCTTATCACCTGGGAACAAGTAAGAGTAGTTGAGCAAAGCAAGTCAGCGAGCCAACAAAAGTAGGTCAAACCCCAAGAAAATTTTTAAACAAATAGCTTAAACTTTAAAATAATGACATATTTTAGTAAGGAAATCTAGCATCTCCAGGTATTTTACCCAGATAAAAACTGTAAGTGCTTTCAATTCATTTGCTTTAAGCCAGCATCTTTGAGCAGCATGAGCAGCAGCCAAGAACCAATATTTCCCAAATTGACTCAATGTCATACTTTTGGTCTACATACTTCTGTGGCTGACCATTCCTAGAGAAAGGCTTACAAAACACATAAACTATGAATTTATTCTAATAGAGAGGAACAATACCTATTTATAAGAAGAAATTTTTACTTTTTCCAGCTCCTATTATTTGATCACAATATGCAGCAAGTGCATGAGCTTTGAAAGAAGTAACTTTAATGTTCATCTGAAAATGCATTCCAATTCGGCCAAATGACAAAATACTGGAAATTATCATTTGCTGTCTAAAACACATTTCTATCATTTTGTGAACTCTAAAAAAAACCCCAAGCTTCTTCTGGCATAAAAATATTAAAATGAGTCAATGCATCCATTTAAAGATGAACTAATAAGTTTTAATGGGTTAAAAAGTGCTAACGGTTCCTTGATAGTAGACATAACAGTGAATGCTACCAGAATATTAATGATAGTATAGCATGAAGCGTTTTAGGAGTCTCCAGATGGGAGATCTGAAAAACCGGATGACATTACTTAGATTCTGAATGGTTTTATTTTCAGTGTCTGGCCACATCAGCCTTGCAACAGTTAATCAGTCAGCACTGATGCTTATGTACAAAAAGAATTTTGAAGAAGTGAAGGATTTATACCTTTTTACTGATAATGCCTTATAAATAAAGGGCTACCACTTGTCTCAGTGGTCTGTGCTTCTCGGGATCAATAAGTGATCTGGATTGCTGTGTTGTTAAAATAAACTGAAGTGTCTTTTACCATCTTTTCTTGACCTGAAATCTCTGACCCCTGTTAAATCCAAGCTAGATATTTTATTACATTGTAATGGACTTACTGCTGAAGGATTACTTCAAAGTTTCACCTAGTACATCATAATACAACACAGTTTTGTGAAGTAGTAATAATAATAATAATAAAAAAAACCACAAAGGAGGTATGGTTAAAAATATGTCTGGGTAAATTATTGTTAGTTTATTAGCATTACTTGCAAAGATAAAAAAAAAATCTCAATTTCTTAAAAGACAAAACGAAGACAAAATTCTTTGCCAAAGTAGTTCTGTCCTTAAGAGGAAATACAGATAAAAGATGGAGAAGAAACAATCACAGAAAGGAGAAACCTGAAGGAGGGTAACAGCATAATGAACTTTTGTTATTTTGTTAGGAAATCTGTTAACAGTTATTTTTGCATTTAACTGACTGATGAACTGTGATATGAATCATGCATTTATTTGTCCAGAATTATAAGATTAAGTTATAGTAGAATTCACTCTGAATTCTAAATTCACTTAGAACTGAAGTGCAAAAACAATATAGAAATCAAACATACATGATACTATGGGAAGTATTTAATTTAATTTTTAAGTAGTTATAGTATGAAAATACAATCAGCAGACATTGGATATATACACAGTTTAAGATGCCCAGATGAAAGAGACTTTGCATAAGTTTATACGAGTGTGTCTTACATGGAAGCAGTTACTTACTTTCAGGACTTCTTTTTTGCCATTCATTATATTCTGCTGTTAGAGCTTTCACTCTTGTCATTAACACTGAAAGCTGTAGAACAAGAAAAGAAGCATCTCTTAAAGTGTGTTGAGTTGCACTGGAGTAAAATGAGATAGAAATGGATGCAAATTCAATTAAGTTTATACAGCAGAAAACAAGAGCATCTAATTACAATAGACCACTTCAAAAGATTTAAAAAGCCACTTGCAGGGATCAAAACACATTTTTATTCTTTTTTCAAAAGGGAGAAACCAGAAGTAGTCAGAGTTGGATTTTTTCACCTAATTTCCTCTGTAATATCAGGCAGTGACCACAACTGAAGATTAGCCACTAGAAGCAGTGATAATACTTCACATCCCCACTCCTCCTTAGATGCATGGTTGATACACATTTAAGGTTAAATGGACTGGGCTTTATATGTGTGATGATTAAACAAAAGATTGGCTTCCAAAAAAATAGCAGTCGAATAAATCTTCTATCAAAACTGCATCTGTGGACTCAACAAAAAATGCCTGAAAACTAGATCTGAGGTTGCCCCTCAGCCTCCTTCTCTCCAAACTAGCCAAGCCCCATGTCCTCAGCCGCTCCTCACTGGACATGCCTTCCTGGCCTTTCACCAGCTGTGTTGCCCTCCTCTGGATGCATTCAAGCACCTTATCATCATTCTTAAATCGTGGGGTCCAGAACTGCACACAGTACTCAAGGTGAGGCCACACCAACACTGAATACAGTGGGACAGTCGCCTCTCCTGACCAGCTGGCTATGCTGTGTTTGATGCCCCCCTGGATGGGGTTTGCCCTCCTGGCTGCCAGGGCACACTGCTGACTCCTGTTGAGCTTAGTGTCAAACCAGCATCCCCAGATCCCTTTCTGCAGGGCTGCTTTCCAGCCACTCCTCTCCCAGTTTATACTTGTGCCCAGCATTAATCCATCCTGGGTGCAGAATCTGTTAATTGTTCTTGTTAAATATCGTGCCACTGATGATTGTCCAACGCTGCAAACTATCCAGATCCCTCTGCAAGGCCTCTTGTCCCTTGAGAGAGTCAACAGCACCTCCCAGTTTGGCATCATCAGCAAACTTGCTAATTGTGCATTCAATTCCTGCATCCAGATCATTGATAAATACAAGGAACAGAACTGGCCCTAGATTGAGCCCTGAGGAACACCACTGGTGACCGGTTGCCAGCCAGATGTAGTCCCGTTCACTACAACCCTTTAAGCCCCAACCTTCAACCTGTTCTTTGCCCAGTACTGGCTCATCTCACAGTTGGACAACACGTCCAGAGGGATGCTGTGAGGGACAGTACCAAAAGCCTTATTAAAATCCAGAAAAACTACATCCACCACCTCCCCTTCATCCACTAGGTGGGTGACCTTATCATATTAAATTAGTTAAACAGGACTTTCCCTTTGTGAACCCATGTTGCCTGTGCCTGATGATTGCACTGTTCTTTAAATGTCTTTCAATAGCACACAATATAATAGTTTCCATAGTTTTTCCAGACGCTGAGGTTAGACTAACAGGTCTGTAGTTTCCTGGGTCAATACAAGTGCCTATGTTAGGGTTGCAATAAGATCCCATGAAAACTGCTGACAGAGGATATAACATGACCTTTTCTTCTCCTCCCTATTTTCTATCACGAAGTGCAATTTTAATCTAATCTTCATTTTTGCAACTCAATTTAATCATTGTCTTGCTATGACAGTGTTCAAAATAAACAGATTTTGAAAGTATTCATTACAAGGGTACTATGTGCTTCAGTAAAGTTGCAAAGAAACATGAAAACCCCAGTGTACACCAAATTAAAATTATACAAAATTTATTTCTACTTATAGTTAGAAATATACCTATAGGATTCAGAGTCTGAAAGGAGGAAAAGATTATATTTTATGCATTTGAATATGCATCTTCATTTAAGTACTATGATTAAATAATAGTTTAGAACATAGCTTATTACTAGCAAGAGACTAATGTTTGTAATTACTAAGTAATTAAACATCTGAATGTATTCAACAGATACGTATCTGAAGAAAAGCTCTCTTTTTGTTAATTATTCAGTCAAGCATTTTGAATTAACCATCTAAATACTCTTACTAACGTCACAAAAGATGAAGATTTAGAAGACCTACACACTTCACCCAACCAGCCCAATGTTTAACTACTTACACTTTCCAAATTTGGTGTGCTATTTAGAATTTACAAACAACTAAACAGTAAGCCAGCATTGCCTTTTTCCATGTTCCCCAAAATCCGAGGGATACAGGAGCTCGCATTTGTGCACTCATCATCACTCAGTTCATTTCTACTTCAAGCACATCATTCTCCTAATGATATCCACAAATGGGGAACAACTCTAATTTGCAGATACAAAGTTTCAGAGTAAATCTAAGGGGATCCATACGGAGTTTCACAAATTACATATACACTGTTTAGGAAATAGTCCAAATGGGTATTGAAGTTACACACCCCTCCACTTTGCTGCCTATGTTAGTCATTTATCATTTGTGTGGCAGGACTGCATGTAACCTTTTTGCTATACATAAACACGACTTTTCAGTATTTCCTAGACACATACTTCAGAATACAGCTTCAAAGTTAATAAAACTGTCAGCTTTAGAGAATAAGTGAAGATAATTCTGTTTCCTTCTTTTGGAAACCACCGTATCTTTTAAGAAAACTGAATATTTTGTGGAGAATGAAAGAAAAAAAATACCACCTTACCTTGGTATCTGATTTTATCAGTGTCTCCATTCCTAGAAGCATTAGCTTGTTCTGACACTTGGTAGAAAACAAACAAAGCACAAATAATGTTTACTTACTCTTCCTTTTTGCGAGGAAGAGATACGATGCTTAGAAATTCTAACAGAAGTTGTTTAATATAGGAAAAAAGAGCTTTGACTTGGCTACTGCCACACCCCTCAGAGCCTGACCCAGAACAGCAAACTAAGAAATACCTTTAAATCATACCACAGTAAAAAAAGCAGAACTTCAATTAACTGAAAAGTAGAAAAGTAGAAGCTAACAAAAGATGTAGATTTGAGGAAAAAAAAAAAGCAGAACTTCAATTAACTGAAAAGTAGAAGCTAACAAAAGATGTACGATTTGAGGAAAAAGGCAAGTTATGAGGGAAAAGTTGATACAGGAAAAAGACACTGAACAGAAGAAGAATGTAAGAAAATGGGAAGAGAGTCAGGGACAAGGCTGAATAGGGAAGCTGCTGAGAAGTTAACATACTTGCTGCTACTATTCTGGCTCTCCAAACAGAGCAATCACATTATAACATACATTTTTAGTTTAAACTCAATTAGGGCAATATAGTATACACTTCAGAAATGGTCTGATTTTTAGAAGTGCACTACATCAGCTCCCATGACTGCAACAGGATATATGTC